ATATATAAAATACAAGGAAACCAAGATCAAAAAATATAATCATAACAGCATTAGAAGCCAAAAAAAGTTAGTTAAGAAACTGATTTTTGAGAGTCACAGAGATCAATACCAATGTTAATAATCAACCATTTTGAAGATTTCAGTGAAATAATATATCATTCATTTTATTTCTAACACAAATTTAAATAAATAGATATAAAGTACTAATTTTAATTAGTAGGAGCATAAAAGTTAAATTGATTCTATCATTCTTACATTATTATTTGTTTAAGTATTTGTCGAACTATTAATAATGGTAATGGTAAGTGATATGACCTAGGAAAAAACCCTAGTGCACCCCTTGGCCAGAACAACATCATTAGGGTTATTGCATTGATATTGTTCCCTTTGATGCTTGGTGCATGTTACAATTTTTTTTCTTCTAAAATACCTTAATTGTTTAAGAGAACAAAATATTTAATATTATTGACATTGAGTCCTAAGGTTTATGAAAATTTATGGTATATCAGAACATTACATATTATAAATTGTAATTAATTGACCGTGTAAAATAGTTTTACACATTCTATACATAGCCATTAAACTCTGGAAATTTTAATGACATTCATATTTTTTTAAAAATTTTAATTGTATTATAACTATGTGTATATATTGTCTCCGTTAGCACATGAAAATGGAGAACATTTTCCATACGAGTACATGTAATGTATTATTTGCTATCTTCAGCTTTAGCAATTAAAACATAATTTAAAAGTATTTTCTTATTATTTTTAAAAATAACCATGGATATTAAGCGTCATAAATTTTATGGAAGAAATACATGTATGAAGTGGACCCAAAATATTTATGAGAAATAGTAGACAACTAGTGTCAAGTTGAAAAATAATTATTTGGGTCTTTCAACGGCCGGGGAAAAGCATGTGGGCCTGATTAGCCCAAACAATTATGTTTTGTCAGAGATATTGTTTTCCGCTTCTCGGCCTATGTATGTAGCCCAAATTCTACATTACCCGGTATGCAATGCAACTTAGCGAATAAAGTTTTATATAACATTTAACTTTCAATTTTTATTATTAAACCAACTGTAATAATTTACTTTTATACAATGTAGTGAAAAGGAAGAAGAAAAGAGATTAGATTTGTGAGAATTGAAAACGACATATTTGGTTGTTGTTGTTCCTTTTCAAGTTTTCACGTGCCAAATACGTCCCGCGCAAAAATAAATAGAGCTCCACGAAATTTCATCCACATATACAATGTTCATCGGTTGTTGTTGTTCCTTTTCAAGTTTTCATGTGTATATTTCAAAGTATATTTATCTTTCTTTATTTCTTTTTATCGAACAATATTAAATTATTTTATTTTATTTACCAAATAAATCATTAATCTCCAATGTGTCAAAGTTAGTGAGAACTAAGAAGCCATCTTCAATATCACTAACTTCAAGGTGGTGAGAGATATTGAGAGAGTCGAGGAAGTTTCCAGCACAATAAATTACGCTATTCACAAGTAATATAAATCAGATTTTTCGGCTTAGTATTTTTTCTACGATTTGGATCTTCCTTGCAGTATTTTCTCTCCAGCCTCTTTCCTGCAACATTAAGAGTCATTAGATATATTTAATGACTCAAATTTAATTATTTAAAAAATTACATTAATTATAAGATTAAATTTGAGTCATTAGATATAACTAATAACTATTAATATTATAGGAAAGAGGCTGGAGAGAGAATATTGCAGGAGAGGATCCAAATTCTTTTTTCTAACACAGCATATAAAGAATATATAAAATACAAGGAAACCAAGATCAAAAAATATAATCATAACAGCATTAGAAGCCAAAAAAAGTTAGTTAAGAAACTGATTTTTGAGAGTCACAGAGATCAATACCAATGTTAATAATCAACCATTTTGAAGATTTCAGTGAAATAATATATCATTCATTTTATTTCTAACACAAATTTAAATAAATAGATATAAAGTACTAATTTTAATTAGTAGGAGCATAAAAGTTAAATTGATTCTATCATTCTTACATTATTATTTGTTTAAGTATTTGTCGAACTATTAATAATGGTAATGGTAAGTGATAAATTATGAAGTCTTTAATTTAATTTATAATATATTATATGAGAAGGTGTATATATATTTTAAGAATAATTTTTTATATATAGTATTTTATTCAATAATTTATAGTTTATATTAAATTTAAATAATTTAATATTTTAAATTAAAATCAGTTTATAATTTCTTTTGCAAATTAAAAGTTATTAACAGAAAATTTACAATAAAAAGAGACATTTTAATAGGCTATTTATAATAAGAGAGTAAAGGATAAAAATAATCAATAATTATTAGCAGCAAATATGAAATATAAATCCTCCTTGGTCGCATATTTAACAAAACATTTTTCTTCGATCTTAATAAAAACACTTATTTGTTAAAATTCAAGAAAAATATTTTTTTTATTAAAAAAACAATAATAACATTAATTAATATTCTAACCGTGTACATTTAACTTTCAATTTTTATTATTAAACCAACTGTAATAATTTACTTTTATACAATGTAGTGAAAAGGAAGAAGAAAAGAGATTAGATTTGTGAGAATTGAAAACGACATATTTGGTTGTTGTTGTTCCTTTTCAAGTTTTCACGTGCCAAATACGTCCCGCGCAAAAATAAATAGAGCTCCACGAAATTTCATCCACATATACAATGTTCATCGGTTGTTGTTGTTCCTTTTCAAGTTTTCATGTGTATATTTCAAAGTATATTTATCTTTCTTTATTTCTTTTTATCGAACAATATTAAATTATTTTATTTTATTTACCAAATAAATCATTAATCTCCAATGTGTCAAAGTTAGTGAGAACTAAGAAGCCATCTTCAATATCACTAACTTCAAGGTGGTGAGAGATATTGAGAGAGTCGAGGAAGTTTCCAGCACAATAAATTACGCTATTCACAAGTAATATAAATCAGATTTTTCGGCTTAGTATTTTTTCTACGATTTGGATCTTCCTTGCAGTATTTTCTCTCCAGCCTCTTTCCTGCAACATTAAGAGTCATTAGATATATTTAATGACTCAAATTTAATTATTTAAAAAATTACATTAATTATAAGATTAAATTTGAGTCATTAGATATAACTAATAACTATTAATATTATAGGAAAGAGGCTGGAGAGAGAATATTGCAGGAGA